ATTATTTCATGTGATCTTGATACCTTTCCTCTGTTAATGCAGCCTAACTGCATTGACTTTTTTGGGGAGTAACATTCCTTAACTTGTCCTGCATTAAAACTGTAAGAAAGTATCAACTGCTGTCTATGGTGCAGGGCAATTTATGGTAGCATATTTTCTGCTAGTTCAAGAATGGAAAAAAATAGCATGTTAAGATGGTTGTAAGGAAAAGTCCTCTCTTACAATATAATAGGAAAGAAGCCCTGTGTTAGATTTACACACTTCAGTGAAGTTTATATGATTGTTTAAAACCCATGTTGCAAATCCTATCACTACAGTTTGTAAACTATTGCCATTATAATGTGTGAACTTAACAATTGTGAATAATTTATCAAAACAATTGGAACAAACCATGATGGAATATATTTTGTGAACCAATCCTTTGGGTCCCCAAACATCCTTTTGATGATGCATCTGGCTGATAGAACTGCCTTCAGCCATCACGTACCTTGTATATATTTTGGCTATCTGCTAGGGCCTAGGCTGGAGAAGTTTGGATTGGACCAGTGTTTCTCAACCTTAACAATTTTAAGATGTGTGGATTTCATGGCTGGGGAATTCTGGGAACTGAAGTCTACAAATCTATTTGTAGATTTATACTATTAGGCTATTGATTTCATGAATAGGAGGAAAAAAATGGTAATCCCTTTTACCTGAAGGTATAAGTCCTAATTCCAGGGTGTAGCATATTTGTAAGCAGCAGCCAAGATTTGAAATGGCCCCTACTATTTATATTTGCTTTTTTTGTCCCTACTTCTTAGGGCTATTGCGTTTATTAAGCTTCGGCTTTAGCAAAGATTCCTGCTCTGTTGCTGCAAAGATTGAATAAAGCTGCTTTAGAAAGCAACAGCTCAATCTGCATTCTGCAGCTGACATCATATTGCAGCAGCACTTCCTGACTAGTCAGCCTAAATATGGTTGTTTGTCTTGTGTAATAACAGCCTCATCCTGATCTCTGGCATTGCAGTTTTGAGAAACAAGCCACCAGGTGTTAAAAGTGCTTCCAAATATATTAAAGGAAAACACCCTCCATTTCCCTTTGTTAGCTCTCCCTGTCATTATCTTTATGGGAAATTCCAGATAGTTAGCAATTAACCCAATCTTGCCAAGGCTTATCTTATTCCAATTGTGGGAAGGAGGGGGGGGGGTAATTGTTGGAGAATAAAGCTTCTGATATCTGCATGAAAGACACATGCTATCTGCCACAAAAAACATCTAGCAAAGTTATGATGAAGGTAGGATCTGGCTTCAGAGAATACTTAACTCTAATCTACAAAAGCAGGTTTTAAATTTTCACATCACTTCATTTCAGCATGTTCTCCTTAGCTGGGGTGAATTACTGATCATGAAGATCTGCTTCACATAGTATGCTTTGTGTTTTGTTTGGTTGTAACTTAGGGTGAATCCAGCCAGTTCTGGCTTGTAAACCATGTCTGTACAAATCTAATACTACACATAAGATTATACAATCTGGTTTAACATAATACGGCCTAAGAGTAAATATGTGCTTGAACATATTGTAATGATGGACATAAGATTTTTTTCAAAATTAAAAAAAAATGTAAATTGTAAATTGCAATGGTGGTGAATCAAAGTGGGATTATGAATGCTTTGGATTTGTGGATTCATGTGATACATTTTGTGTCAAATGTGAGCTAATGTGAGGACTTTCAGACAAATGCATTAGTAAATTGGATTTGTTAAAGGAAAATAACTTCTAAATTCTCTGTGTGTGTGTGTGTGTGGGAAGAATCCTTCCTTTAATTATTTGAGTTACTAAGCTTTCTGGTGTATGAAGGATTAGTCAGAGCTAAAGCATGCCTTTTGATTAGATGAGATTCTTCTTAGGAGCCTGGTACAGTGATTAGTCATGCTTTCATCTCAACCCAAACAGATTTTTTTTTATTCTATAGAAAAGTTATATTGAATTGCTGAGAAGCAAAATCTAAATGGCACAAATAAGTGCTTGTGTATTCTTGACTCTTAAAACTGCCTCAGGTGAATTGGAATATACTGGGAAGTTGAAATCCAAAGGGGAAAAAAAAACCACAAGGACACCAACCAGTCTATATATACAGATTTACATATAAAAATTATGGTAGTAAGAATGGTAACAAATGCCAGGAATATATATAAGAAAAGGATAGAATCTGTACTTTGAAGCTTATCAGATAACCCAGAGCAGACAGAGGGATGTTTGCCAGGAAGATGTCCAAATTGCTGAGGGTAGCATTGAAAAAATGGGCAAGCAATATAGTATTTTTTCTACAGATTTTCAAGCTGTTTAGGGTCATACTAGACATAATGTTCAATACTATTTGCATTTAAAACGCACACTTTTTTTAACAAAACCAAAAGCAGCTGTTGGTATTTATGCATGTGAAAATAACTGAAATAACAGTGACTGGGGAAGGGAAACCTCCTTTATGTATAGGGAAGAAAGCTTCCATTAATAGTATTATTTGGTGGGTTGCAATCAGGTTTGTATACTAGATTTCCAGTTTCAATCTCAATCTCTCCAGATAGGGCTGTGAAAAGAGCATATTGAATCAATGTCAGCCAGTGCAAATATCAGTACTCGATAAGCCTATATGGCTTCTCTCTCTACATAGCCAATTTATTTTTTATAAAAAAAATGTGCACTTGATTGCAATGATGTACTTAACATCCCATCTTGTTCACCTTGTTTAAGCCAACCTTTTCTAAAATACATCTCTAGCCATCAAGAATACCAGCTAAATGCCAAATCACTACTGATGTGTTGTTTAAAGATGTTTACAGTCCTTTCTGTTGCTAAGGCAGTGAGGTTGAAGTCAGCCTGTTACAAGCCATCCACCACAGAAAAATCACTTAGCTGGATGTTGCCACATAGTGCCTATTGACTATATTCTCTCTGTTTCTTCCTGCTTTTTCTCCCTCCTCCTGCCACGTACAGCTTACTGCAGGATTAGGCTTCCTCAGCTGCTGCCAACTTGTGAACAATCATGGTGCTGTGAGGGACATTTTGGTGACCTCATCTCCCAGATATCTCTGCTTGCCACAAGAAAAAATTCTTCTGTGAATATGGAAAGAATTTGTTTGTTCCAAAGAATCCATGTTGTCAGAGGGTGTCCCAAATGTAGTCATGACTGTCATCTACTCTACTGCACTGGTCCCCAACCAGTGGGCTTGGGACCACTGATGGTCCGTGAGAAAATTTTGGTGGTCCACAGAGAAATGTCACCCCCAAAGTACCCCCCCCCAAAGCAATTAATCCAGGCTTCGCAGGAACACAAGGCTGCACCGCCCACATGGCCTGTGGGAACACAAAGCTTGCATCACTTGCATTGCAAACAACATGAGGTAGTGAGGGGAGGGGGGAAAAGGGCAGTGGGGGGGAACTTGCCCCACTCACCCCACGTGCCTGGCCTGGCCACCGGGCTGCTTCCTTTCACTTCTTTCTTCTGCTTTTGGCTGTACGCAAGGAAAGCAGCAAAAGTCTTTCTTTGTCTCCCCCAAACTCTGCCAGAAATGAGTCTTTGGGATTCTGCAAGGCATCTTGCTTCAAGAGGCTGCGCCGGCATGACAAGTCTCACAAAGACTCATTTGTGGTGGAGTTTGGGGGAGAGAAAGAAAGACTTCTGCTGCTTTCCTTGCATGAAGCCAAAAGTCTCTCTCTCTCTCTTTCCCCCTGAGAACAGAGCTGGAGACGGTATCCTGTGATCCCAAATAAAGAATAATCGATTGGTAGGAAAACGGGGTGGAGAATTTTCCTGCAGACTTTTTTGGGGATTTTCCCAGGGTCTCTGGCCCGCGGGATTTAAAATTATGAGTTTGGTGGTCCCTGAGGTCTAAAAGGTTGGTGACCACTGCTCTAGTGAATCCAAATCTCAGGAAAACAAGCCAAGAACAAGCCTGTAGAAAAGCACTTTTACTCATTCAAGTTCCTGAAAAAGTGCCAGCATATATACATGTAGTATACCTGACAAGACAGGACTATGGAGTAAAATGGTTCCAAAGGACAGAGTTCTATACAGGTAATACTCACTTAACTACCACAGTTGTTACATGAAGGGGTCACTAAATGAATCTGTGATGGTGTCTATGACTTTACTTCAGCTTTCTTTTGCTTTACAGACTCACAAAGGTCATTAATGTGAGGATTGGTCAGAATGTTCCTTTTTCATTACTGTTGCAACTGAGAATTGTTGCTAAATAAAGAGATTACTAAATGAGGGCTACCTGTACTCACTAGGACAGGGGTGTCAAACTCAAGGCCTGGGGGTTGGATCTGGCCTGTGGGGTGCTTAGATGCGGCCTGCAGGGCCGCCTTAGAAACAGCAAAGGATCACAGTGCCTCTGCTAGTGAAAACAGAGTTCGGGAGGGCCATGTGCGGCTCTCCTGAGCTCTGTTTTCAGTGGCAGAGGGGTGCAGGACACCACCGCAGCCAAAAACGGAGCTCGGAAGCCCGTTTTCACCAGCAGAGTGCTCGGTCCACCATAGGCGCCCCCGACATGAGTGATGTCGAGCTGGCCACACCCACCCCAGCCCCCCGAGGTCAAACACAACCCTGATGCAACCCTCAATGAAATCAAGTTTGAAACCCCTGCACTAGGACATTATAACCGAGGTAGGTAGTTTGTACTCGCAGGCTGGATGCGTCATGCACTGACATGCCCACACCCGGTTTAGCAAAAGGGTGGGGAAGTCACGATATGTTGCGTGATGCCACCATGACAACACAAGTTTGTCATCCCTGGTGTAAGTGATTTGTTCAAACCTCTGATTAAGAGAGATCTTCCTTTATCTATGGCCTGTTTCTTGGAAAAGAGTGGGAAAGGTGTTAACAAGTTAACCAAAAACTGGCAATGAGTGCCAGAGACAGACTAAATGTACGTATCTTTCTTTGGGCTTGGATCCCACTAATTATTTCTTTACCCTGTCTATGTGCCCCTTCAATTATCCCCAAGGAGCTACAGTCTTTGGCTGCAAAAAGATACCCTACCAATAATACAGACATTGGTAAAGAAGAACAAAAATTCTTAATTATCACCTTATCTTAATTATCAATTATCATGGAGGTTTGAATCTCCATGTATTAGGATTGCTTTGGTTTGCTTAGTAGCTAAAAACAACCCAAAGGAACAATTTCAGGGAACCCTTTTGAGGGAAGGAAGAATGTTAAAACATACTTATACCTGCTTCTAAAACTTGATTTCAGTTGATTAGAGGAATCTCACTACCATGCATGTTAGATCCTTTGGCAACATTTCTTTTTCATAGCTGCTAATCCCCTAAAGTGTTTGCTATATGACATCCACTTCTTCCCTTTGGTTTCTCAGCAGAATAGTTCCTTGAGAGAGTGATTTGATCAGGGAAAAATGCAGGCAGATGGGTGGGAGCTGGAAGAGGGCAATCTATGAGTATGTTCTGAAAATATGTAGGGGAAGGGGGAGCGAGGAGCCTAGTTCTCATGTTCTTCCATGTCTAGGACAAGACAACCCTTCTTTCTCAGCCAACGTAACTGTCTGAGAGCCCCTTCAAAAATGAGCACAAAGACATGTTCAGACTGACTTATCTCAACAAGCGATGCTTCCAAAATATCCCTGTGTAAAAAATGGTCACCACTATAATTAGCCAGAGAGAAAAAAAAATTACCCATTTTTTTTTCTTTTGGGGGATGGTCAACTATTGCTGTGAGAATAAATTACATACCGAGATACTTTCGGATTAAGCAGTCTGACCTTCCTCTCAAGGATACTTTCAAAAGATACTTCAAAGATCCTGCTTTTCTTAATGAGGGTATAACTTATGGTTGTCTGAATGGACTTTGAGGCAAAGCGGGGGAGGGGGAGGATTGCCTGACCAATGAAAGTTGTTTCTACCAATGGGCAGAAGTGCAGAAGTATGTTCGCAGAGCATGTGGCCAAAGACACGCAAGGCTGCATTTTCAGATTTCATTGAACCTCTTTCCCTGATATGGAGTTGCTTCCAAGACTATGCAGTTTGTGCAGGGTGGCAGACACATGAGGTTTAAATGAAAAGGAAAATGCACAAGGGTGACTTTATGCATGCGGTCCTCCCTGTTTAAACCATGCGATATATCATAATTATGAAGTGGAATCATTGCAGGGATTGTACTTTACTCCGCCTCTTTCTCAGCTAAGCAACAGCCTTGTGTATGGCTCTAGCAGCAAACCCAGGGAATACCTGGAAGGCTTTCCAAAGACAATGTGTAAACTGTCCTCTCTCTCTCTTTTTTTTTTTTTGGAACATGGAAGCATGAAAAGCAGCCCTGTTTCAGAATCTGATTTTACCTTGAGAAATAATTTCCTTTTCTTCCTGAACGAGCACTGTGGATAAGCTGCTGCAATAGCTATGCAAAGCTGTAAGTGCTAGAAACAAATCGCTAGTTAGGGTTTTGCATTGCCAATGCCTGAATTTAGGAGATACAGAATGGAAAGTTATATTTCAGCCCTCCATGTCAGTAGATCCTTAACATAAATTGAATTCTGTGCGTGCTCTGGAAGTATATAAAACAACAAGGTTAACATACAGATTCCTTGGAATGGTATCACTTGGAAGACTAGGATTACATTTCCTTCTGAGGGTGTATAATAAACAACAATCCTATCTCAATCAGAGTTCTGGTGCAGGAGAACTGGACAGTGTGCTGATGAACTGGTTTCAGATACAATCCAAATTTTGTGTTTCTTGTAAAAAGAGGAGAGGAACCATCCTGCCTTGCTGGTGTCCCAGTATCTTGGATGGGAAAAACAGTTGAGTTGATCTTTATTTTCATCACAAGGCAATTAGGAGAATATTGTCCCAATGGAGGTACGGTTTCTCTTCCCTTTACTAGACTGTTCTTTTTTAATCACATTTTTCCTGATAGTTATTTGATAGAGATATGAAAGGTCTCAGTGGTCTCTATTCTTAAGTATAAATGTTTTTATTTCTAGGGGATGGAAAAATAATGGCATTATCTGTCATGATGAAATCAATCAACCAGTGGGAAGGAAGGAGCATGGGAAGTCATAAGCATCCTTAACTGTCAGCTGCCACAAAAGAGCAACTAATACTTTTTGGTTTGCTCTAAATTGTTCCTTTTTACTATTTATTTTTTTTAAACCCACAAAGCAGGGAGGAGGAGACATACCAAAGTAGAGAAATCAGTTCCGTCCTACATCTGCTTTTCCTAGCCTGGCACTCTGTAAATGTGGTAGAACTTATCACTCGATGGGAATTCAAACTGGTGTCTGAAAACACCAGTTTAGGAAGCACTGATATACAGAAGATCATCTGGAAAGAAGGCTAACCTTGTGAATCTGCACATATCCAGAATGCCAGATAGCTTTACATGGTTTCATTTTGCTCTGATATCTCCTAAGAGGCTGATGGGAGACCACAAGAGAACATGTTTGTCCGTTCAAACCTTAACTTCATCTTCATCCTCTTCATCAACATATTCAAAGGAATCACTGTGTCCTTCTCTAACAATGGTTTCTTCATCACTGTCAGACTTGTCGTGGTCCTCCTCCTCCTCTTCCTCCTCCTCTTCTCTTTGTCGCCACCCAGTAGAATATTCCCGTTGCTCAGGTGCACCTACTTTCAAGGGCCATGAGTTGGCAATCGGGCTTTCCCATGAGGCTTGTCCCCTTGGATCTTCTTGTGGAGATGGACTGCGGTAGGTACTTCCTGCCCCATAATGGCATGCTAAGACACGGGCAGCATGGTTGAATTCTCTTGCTTCCATGTTACAGTCCTTGTGGTGCCCTTTTTGCCAATAGGTCTCCTTTGGCACGGCCTCCAGTTCAGAACTAGAACTCCTGCTTCTCAAACAGGGAGATCCTTCCTCAGACATCTCTATAGAATGAGAGTCTCCATTAGCATAGGCCAAATGTCCCAAGGGTGATCTAAGCTCGGAGTAATCCAAAAGGCTTGATACGTTTTGGCTTTCTTCACCATTACCATGACGAGATTCTGACTCCACAGGTAGCGAGTCGTCTGACCAGTTGCTCTTGATATGAAGGGAAGAGTGAGACTCACTGCTGCTTGGCGGTTTGCTCTCTTCGCATTCTTTCTTTTCCCTGGAATCAGAGCTGTCGCCTCCTGAGAAGCTCATGACATGAAGAAGTTCGCTCATGAGAGAGGGGCCAAGGTCCAGGCGGAAAGACAGTAAGGAATCTGAACGCTGCAATGCCGACTCAGCAGGATGGGAGCTCTCGGGAGGCTTCTCAGACCGGGGAACACGTGGAATGGTACAGAATCCAGATTCCAATCCTGAAAGGCCATGAAATCAATCATGAGAAAAATAATAATAATAGAAAACTACTTCTCTGCATTATCTGTAATAGCAGAAGGTGACAATTCTATATTTGTAGTATGCAAACTATGAGGACAGGTGGGTATTAGTTCCCAATTCTAGGGAAACTAGAGGTTTTTCATGCACCCTACTCAAAACTGCAGCTTTCATGTGGCAAATCTCTGGACATAAGGTTGACAATGTGACAGCAAATGGGTTAAAGGCAAAAAATAATTAAGAAAATGAAAACTAATCATATATATTTGACTCCACCTGGTATTTCTAGGATCGGATTTCAAAATGGTCCTTTTTTCTTTAAGCTCACAAATGTGGTTTTTTTTTGCAGGGGGTTGGGGGAGGAGATGAGAGAGCAAGGTAGAAATATGGGTTATTTCTTCCTCTTAGTGCTTAGTCAAGATTTCTCTGCAAGAGATTACTATTTCTGGATAAGACTATTGTGGAGTGAGTGCACCATGTCAGACTAACATTGATTCACATTTGCCACCTCATGCACATTTGTGTTAATAGCATACAGCTAAAATATGCAAATTAGTCACAGCTCAGGGAATTGTGAGCTGTTTCTAATGAACTGTTCTTGGTGCCAAGAGCAAATTTTTCATCCCTGAGTTAACTTAGTAGCCATCCTTCAACAGTGGGCTCCCAGAGCCAGGAAAGGAAATATGTAGAAATATGTAGGTTCAGAATTAGAGTGTTATATTACATTTCTGGGTCTGTTTTCCCATTTTATGGCATACGCCTTGTGTCTATTTCCACATGATACAGTATATATGCATTCTATTTCTAGACTAAAACTGAAGATATACCATACTCTTAAAACATATATAAATCATGGGGTCTATAATCAGGCATATTAACACCATCATAAAAGCTGGCATCATGCCATTTAACACCAGTTTGAAAGTCATGGCTGTTGTGGGTTGATATGAACACATACATGATGTCATTTGCTGCCTCCGTCTGGAATGTCCCTGCGCCTGATATTACAAAGTGCTAACACATTGGCAGAGTATCATAACATATTGAACCAGAAACTATTAATTATTTATTATTCATTTTAATTTTTAACCCTGTTCAACATGCCATGTGAGTTCAGATTATGATTCCTGAACAATGGGATTTCACATATCTAAAAGATGCAAAGTAGGCTATTTTGTGAAAGTCTGGCCCATTTATCCTCCTCATCTTAATCAAAATTATTGTATGTATATTGGCAGAAAGAACGAAATAGTTAATGTGACAATTCTTCCATTAAATATAAATAATGCTAGATTATCTTCATAGAGCAGTCTTTCCAAACCTGGTGCCTTCAAGGCTGTGTATTATTTATATTATGGGAAGCATTATGTTTCGAATATCAGTTGTTGGAGAAACATGTGCCGGGAAGAACGAAGGAGGTCTATGAACTTCCTATAACAGGACTGTCAAACTCATGGCCTGCAGGCCGGATACATCATGCGCTGGCCAAGCGCACACCCAGTTTAGCGAAGGGGGGGGGGAAAGTCACGATATGTCACGTGACACCGTTGTGAGTTCAACACCCCTGTCCTATAAAAATCTGGAGTGGCCTCTGTGGGGAAAAGAGGTTGTTGGTATGGACAAATCTAGCTGACTGTCAGGACCAAACCCAGAGCCAACACACTGAAATCCAATCAAATTCAATTCTTTATTTGCTTATACCTAATGGACAGAATCTTGCCAAACCAAAGCTATAACCTGCTAAATATATCCTGAGAGTTTCTAGGGTGTAGCTATCCTGAATGTCTTCCTCCTTCCCCATCCAGCTCAAGACTGTGCAGTCTCTTAATTTGGGCCTCTGATGGAATTTACTGCCTCCTCTCAAGGAAGGCCCTGAGCTGCCAAAGCTCTTTTCCAGGTGCGCATTACATCCCATTGACTCAATTTTATTTTAAAATATTATACCCTGCTTTTTATTTAAAAAGCATAATAATTGATCTTATGAATAATTGATCTTATCAGTATGGTTACTTAATTTTCCAAGGCACATTTCAGCCATTTTCATCTCTGGAAGAAAGATACCTTAGGTACTTAGACACTGCCTTAGTCAAGATCTTCTGTGAATATCCTCCTGCCTGTTGCTAAACATGTAATTCTAAAAGCAGTATGAATTATGCATCAGAGCCAGCTGGCCTGGGCAATGAAATATTGGTCATGCTTATTTAGGGAGCAAATATATTGGGAGCAATGGAACCGCAGGTTTGATTACACTCTGAAGATCAAAAGCAGAAAGAATGGGGAATTAGTTTTCTCTCTAAATGATTGGTTAACCTTATCTTTTCTGCACTTTGCTCACGAAGCTGGAATTTACAGCGGGGATGATAAAGTGTAAAAAGCTGGAAAGGGGAATGTGATTATTGCAACAACTGCACAATTCATCATGTACAACAGAGGGCAGCATTGTCTCGTGTCTCTTTTGAAGAAAGCCGCGGAAAGAACAACACATTTCTAGACTGGCAATGTGGGCAAAGATAACTACAGCTGCAGTTGCTCTAAGTGAATCTCCTGGTCCCACCTCAGTGCAAATGCTGCAGTTTTATACTGCAGATCCAGACACCACAGGAGGTAAAGAAAGCAGCTGCCAATTAAACAGTGTAAAACCTGAATGTGTTCCACTGTTTTGAGTTGAGATAAGAATTGGACTAGACTTCTTCCTATGTTGATCAGGTGGGTGCATAGAAGATTGTCTGGAAACACCTGAGCAACATCCAGGTTTCTTGTTTGATACTGAAGGAGATCTGTTCTACTTCATTCTGGTTTCCTCTCATGATCCAAATATTCCTGTTTCATAAATTCTTTCCTTTACATACAGATTCTTCTCTTTTTCTATCAGCTGCTTGCTTGGCATTCTGTCCTGAATACAGATTCCCTTGTTGGACACAAGCCATGTTCCCAGCATTAATCTTCCCAACATCTTACATATAAATCTACTCAAAGATAGCAAAAACGGCACAGATTTATAACCTAATCCTAGATATGTTTCCACCAATGCATGTCTCATTGCATTTGCTCATGAAGATTTAACTTCCAAAACAAGTGTACAAAAAAATAATGCCCTTGATCATGATTTCCCCCCACTGCTCTATATACCTCTTCTTTTGACAGATTTACCAACTCTCCAAATAGACACATGTCATTGTGTGTATTAGCATAGACCCAGAGTTCTATGTTTACAACAGAGTAATGAAATGTCTGACTTCTGTAAGCACAATGTCAAAGTCATGATCTATTTATTGATTCAAGGTATTTTATTGTTACACCAATTTCAGCTGCAAAGGATTCCAAAGTGGTTCAGGTGAAATCAGTGGAACAAAACATCTCATTTGAGGTGACATTAATCAAATGCATTTACGGCATTAAAGCCATAAGTCTGGAGTAGACATCAATGTTGCTGCATGTCAGGGAACATCTGTGTCTGTCCAGAAATAGTTGCATAGCTGTTGCATTTATCCTTCTATGGGTTTTAATGTTCTAGCTAGAGGACTTTCAAATAACAAAGCCAACAGGAAGTTGGATCAATCAATCAGCATGCAGGATGCACATCTCAACATTACATATAATTGAGATTTGGGAAGTATGCGCATCAGTCCATCTGCAACCCTCTTGTAGCATAGGCATGTGTTGATGATGCTGACACACAGTTGCAGACAAGTCTAAAAAGCTATAATCAGGAGGTATGCAATGTGCATTTTTATAAGTGGAGAGATCATATCTCCTGTTTTTCTCCTATCCCTGTTTACATTCAGCATAAAGTGAAGTGGCCTACACACAGAGAAATGCCTGGCTTATAGGCTGGTTGTAACCATGTATTTCTATACGACAGTTTTCTTTTCCAGGGTTTCTGTCTTCCTGATGTAGATGGGTAGGCATTTCTCCTGTCATGTTGAACATATCCTATGTTTCAATTTATTCTGATTACTGCAACATATGCAAAATTCTTAGTTGCTGGTTATTTAGAGCTTAGCAATAGATTTTTATATTCTGTTTATTTTAAAAATTTAAGGTTATGTTGCCACCTTATAGCCCCACCCCACCCCCGAGATCTTATTGCACCAAATTATTCTGTTCTGTTTTTTTATCAAGTTAACTCTTCCAAAGTTTATTTTGCTTATGTACCACTGACGTAGTTTACTCAACTGCAGATGCTAAGTTTTTGATTTAGAATAAACAATATAGTAATAGATAAAAATAAAAGTTATTAGCAAATAGATAAACAAGGATACTGCAGACACTTTAAGCATTAAGAAATAATTGGTATGTGAGACCATCTGTACTAGTGTTTATTCTGCAGCAAAAGTTAAGATTGCTCTAACAGAGATATTTTTGCAGTTTCTAGACTCTTCACAACATACTTGCTTCATTTTGGTTTCACTTGCCAATCTCCTGCATATTTGCAATTTGAGATTACCCCACCCCTTCCCTTCCCTTTCCATTTATAAGCACACTTCCCATTTCTAATCTCCTGCTGTCTATGGATTGTTGGGTAAACCAGAAAATACACGTAGCTATTTCTGGCCTTATCGTTATCATTCCAGGAAAATGCCAAGTGCATTCTGGAAACATATGACTTATAGAATTGGTGTAGACTTGAAAATATGTAGCAGAAGAACCACCAGACCCCCCAAAATTGATGAAACTTTAAAGTACTCTCAGATGCCTGCTGGCACTTGGCTGAAAGGTCAAAAAAAGGACATCTGAAAGCTATGAGTCACATTGTGATTTCCTGCTAGGAACCCTCCATTTTCACAGTCTTTTATTTTATACTTAAAAAAAGAAGACTTATATATTTATAAAAACTTCTTATTACAAAGCCTCTGAGAAACTCTTCAAAGATGTCATTTGAATATGTACTAAGACAATGCTACGACTTAAGAGCCAGTACATATTATTCAAAATAATGATTTGGTAATCACATATTGCAGATCTGTTTTCAAGAAAAGAATGGGAGACCAAGAAAAGAAAATTACTGCAGCAGAGAATCATAGAAACTGTAATGTAAGGTAATGTGTGACAGACTTCCCTTAAACACATACTGCAGTATGGCACTTGTCAATCCAAAAAGTATAGACTTCTAAAAATATTATTGAAATGTCTTTTTGAGTGTGCTTATGAAATGTTTTTGTCATGTATCTAAATCAGTGTTCCTCAATCTTGGCAACTTTAAAACGGGTGGACTTCAACTTCCAGAATTCTTTAGCCAGTCATGCTGGCAAGGGAATTCTGTGAATTGAAGTCTGCCCATCTTAAAGTTGTCAAAGTCGAGAAATATTGATCTAAATAAAAAGAATAAATATCTAAAACAAGATAACCTATTTGATTCAAATGAGTTACCTTAGAAGCCACCTACCATATTCAGAGAAGCTTGTTGGAGGTTTCTTGAAGGCAAATGCTATACCAAGATCATCGCTGTCATAGTGACTCTGATTGAGCTGAGGCAGTGACACAGCATTCTTGATGATGGGTGAGATGGCGGGAGGTGCAGATGAGCCCTGATCCTTGTTTCGGCTTCCCCGGTTCCTTAGCGGGCTCCTCCTCACATGCCACAGTGTCCGAGCAAAGAAATTGTGGGGTTTGACTTCCTCTCCACCATGGTTCCTAAGGAAAGAAGTGTCTCCAAAGGCATCACCACCTCGTCCCACATGCATGGTGTGACGAAAGTCCCCCAGTGGTGGGCTGATCATGTCCGGAGTCAATTCTGTTTTGAATCGGCGTTTGCTGTGTGAGCCAGACACCCAGCCAATCACGGGTAGCTTTCCAAGACTCATTTCCTAGCCAGTTGACAAAAACCCGACCCAGAAATTCAATGTGTCCTTCAGAAAAGGTTTATGTTAATCTGGAAGTACACGGGTATAACTTAAGGATGGTCACATACCTGGCCCCCCCATTGTTTATGTTTTCTTTCACTCTTCTTCTTTCTGCTAGACTATTTAACAAAGAATAAAAAATAGGTCTGTCATGGAACTTCTGGGTTTCTTCCAGGACAATGTTGTCTAATTTGCACTGTTCCCTCCAGTCCAATTGGATAGTGACCCTTCACAGTTTTCATGTAGCTACTTATCTGATTTGTTTCTTGCAGGTTTGGAGGAGCAACCTAGTTTCTCTTTTTGAACAGCAATGGTCATTAAAACAGTGTTTGCACTTGCCTGACTCAACGTGTGCAAAACTGGAAAATCAATATTATTGAGTTGATTCGTCTTCCACCATCTCTTTTTCTCTCTTTCTCAATTTCTTTTGTAAGAATCAGCAAAACCATGGGGGCCTCAAGTAGCAAGGGCCACAGTGGGAGTCTCACATCTTGTGTCCCGAGCCTGGATTGTTGCCACACAGCATCCTAGAGAAGATAAAAGAGACAAAGTAATTGTTGAAGTTCCCAAACTATTTTAAAATGATGAATTTGAAAGTGGACACTGCCCATGTGTGCTACCAAGCAGTCTGTGATGAAAGTTCAACGCACAAGGTTAGATAGAGAAAAGTTACATGGTATATTAAGCAGACTCCTTCTGGAATCCTCCACCAGGTGGCAGAGACGGTTTTCTGTCTGCAGCATTTACATTTGTATTTAACACAAAGTGCTGTTGATCAAACAATTCTAGAGAGATTACATATTAATAGGGGAAATGACTTTCTTCTTTGCCTCCTCTGTAATGTTGACTGGAATTATTGTTAGGTTGAAATAGAGCTTGACGGCAGAGTTTGCTGCAATACACTATATCTTTATGTCTGTACACTCCAGGTCAGAGGCAAATCATCATCTTGCAAGAATTTTCTAACTCTTTTTCTGCAGAGCCAAAGATCCCTATTACATTCTGTTCTAGCTACATGTGACTTAAAAGGATCCTTTCCTAACACAGGCATCTGGGGGCAAAGTAAAATAGCTAAGATACCGTCAAGTCAAAGTCAACTTTTGATGACTTACAGACATATCCAATCCATGCAGTTTTCTTACCAATTTGTTGTTGTTGTTTTACTCCCAGGATACTCCCAGTGTATATTTTCAACCAGTGTAGAGTATGGTGTTGCGGGCAATTCTTGGAGTCCCTAGGTCTAGGATGACCCATGTTACATCACTGTCCCGCAAGCTGCACTGGCTGCTCGTCTGCTTTTGGGTGCAATTCAAGGTGTTGGTTATTACCTTTAAAAGTCTGCATGGCAGGGGCTCCAGGTTACCTGAGGAACAATCTCACCTCACTGGAACTGGTCTGCCTTATTCACACCAGCAGAGGATTCATGCTGTGAGACCCTTTGGTCCAGGGATTCCAGCTGGTGGGGTCCAGGAAAAGAGCCTGGCTCTGCCAGGTGGCTTGGGGCCCAAACAGAGGAGCAGTGGTTGTTGAATTAAGAGGCAATCCCATCTCCCTACCCACCCATCCACCTTCGAGCATCCTGTTCTCCCCCTCTCCATCATTTAACTACAATTTTATTTTTATTTTTTATTATTTTAGAGATATTTGTCAGAATTTTAATGGTTTAATGCTGGAAGCCTCCCAGAGTCATTTCATTAAGAGGTGGGTAGCAAATAGATTCACTAAATAAATAAATCATAAAATAATATTTTAAAAATTCCCCCAAATCCTGAGATTTCCTAGTTGTCTTCCATTCCAGTACATCTGACCATGCTTAACTTCTGAACCCAGCCAAGATTAACCAGCACTGCCACCTGCCATTGCGCTCAATGGTACAGTCACCATCATGCTATTTGCTATTATCAGCCAAATATGACAAAAGTTGTAGTTAAATACATCTGAGGACATCCAGTTGAGGAAAGCAAACATCTTCTTTCCTGTTCCTGATTTCAAGAATGAAGATGCCCTGGCCAGATGTGCTTATAGTTAATCCAATCCTTTCAAGCAGTTAGGACTTTGTGACTATGTTCAGTGTTACCATAAGTGTAATTGCTTGCTGGAATATTGAAATTACAATGTCACATCTGGAGAGCATCAGAATAGGAAAGCTATTTTACAAACTAACTCTTCAAACATGGAAACAATCCTGCCTAGATACTGCTTTGGTGAACCAAAGTCTATACAATACTACACATTGACTGGCATGTACTTGAACCCACATGCATCTGTTTTTGCTCAATATCCAACATTTTAAAGTGCCAGATATTTGAAATATTACTAGCATTTGCACATTATTAATGTACTGGCTTAATGAAATGCTTCTTTATATACTTTTCTCAGTGGAAAATGTTCTCTCCCCCATTGTGCTGACTTAACTATATCCAGAAATCTCTTCAAATGTCTCCTTTGTTTTCTATGCTGTGGCTCACCTTGGAAAGGCCAGAAAGGCAGAGCAGGAGTAGCTACTGAATCACTAAGTGGTGTCCCAGCTCTGTGTGTTTTTCCTTTTTTTTTTGGCTCTATTTGTTCATTCAGGGGTTACTCTTATCTACTAGTTTAGAAGCTGGCAAATATTTAAAAAAAAACTGAGTAAGTTCAGTTGGAATTTATGGCACATACTAACTGCTTTTTAAGAGGAATGTGACTGGGCTGCAAAGAAGCAGTTCAGTGTTTTAACAGCCTGTAATCTTAGCCTACGCGTAGAAAGAAAAGCAAGTAATGGTCCCCTATGATGATGGAAACATGCATATCAGAACATAATAAAATGATTGCATACAAATAGGTGATAGGAGTAGTTGGGACCAGGAAATCTTGCTGGATTTCATCTCCATGCATATTTGGGGATGGGGGCTCTGTGACCCAATGTCATCCCTAAGAGATAGAACAGAACAGGAACTGACTCCCAAGAAAGCTAAAACTATACTGTGTTGAGATAATCTACACTAATAGAAGTATATAGGTGCCTGTGTTTTCACTACCTTCTCTCTTGTCTATGGAGATTCTCAGTCATCCAGGTCATGGTTATCCCAAACATGCTTTTTCAAGAGGCAGCTGGAGTTTCTGGTTTTTCTTTGAAGATGTTTTGCTTCTCACCCAAGAAGCTTCTTCAGTTCTGAGCTTTTCAAAGAAAAACCAGAAAGTCCAGTTGCGTTTTAAAAAAGCACTTTTGGGTCTACCCTCTCTCTTATACTCCAGGAAGTCAGAGGGATGCCAATCTGAATCTTTTTCCAATACTCTCCCAGCTCTTGGGCATAACACTTCTGTACCTGTTGTTGTTCTAAAGGTGTTTGGATGCCTTCTCCAAGTTATGTCCATGGTTCCCTACACCCAATCATGTAACACATTTTTTGCAGGACACGTCACAAAGAGGAAGTTGTAGGTAGCATCCCTTGTGTCCCTTGTCAGTAATGATGTCACAGCTCCTCCTTTCTTCTGATGAGTGTAAGGGAAACAACAAGGCTAAATATATGAACCTCTACAATGCTAGGATAGCTAACTAATCTATTACCTGAATCAGGCAAAGGTATTCTAGTTGGATCCTGCTTAACACTATCAGACTCGCATTTTACTGAAAAGTACCCCAAACTATCAATTTTCTTTCCTAGAAGGGAGATTAAAATTTGCCCATGCTAGTGGGAAAAGCTATGATTTATTTTTGTCCTTCTCTAAACAATCCACGAGAATTGTGACTTTTCTCCATCTCATCTTAGTTAGCCTCCACCACCTTCCTTGCACTGAGGCCTAGCAGATCTCACTAATATAGGAGATGGGGTGGAGAACAAGGAAACAGAAAAGCAGAAGAAGGTACTTGTAGGTGGAATCTGTTCCAAAGCTGTGACAGGCCAAGCAGAAGATTATTTTCTGTTTCTCAAAAACAACTTTCAGAAACTCAAAAGTGTTGCTTTCTTTTGGATTTGCTGCCCCATTGCCAGCAGCCACCTTGGCCTGCTCTTGCTAAAGAACATAAACATAAAACATAAAGCCACAGCTTTATGTGCCTCCTTATCATCCATCTTTGGTTTTGCTCCTCCTTTCCTTATTTTTCCTGCCAACCAGCCTACGTTGCTACTGCAGGGACTCTCCCAAACTCTGCTGCCCGGGAGCAACATAATCAACAAAAGTTCTTCCCATTCCTTTGAATTTATCAGGAATCCAAAATCTAGTTATTCTTTTGTTTAAGGAAAGTTTATGTACAGCTACAGATAAACAATGGCTGCATTGGCATCTGTCTGTCTGTCTCTCTTTCTCTCCATCCATCTTTTAATTTAATTAATTTATTTGATTTAGGTACTGCCTGACTCCAGAATTACTCTGGAGTCCTTCCTTCCTTCCTTCCTTCCTTCCTTCCTTCCTTCCTTCCTTCCTTCCTTCCTTCCTTCCTTCCTTCCTCTTTCTTTTCATAAGATTATTACTTCACTACTGAATCTAATGCTGCATACTTCCAAATGTATCTCTAAATAGCACTTATTTTTTTACCTCCCTTTTATTGTTTTTGCCGGTGTCCAAGCTGACTTTGTCCAATTCTATTTCTCCCCCCAGATGTAACAATGATCTTCATCATACCTACTCAACCCAGCCACAGATGAAGGGGGAAACACATAACACATATGGAGGATGATGAGTTGGGCAAAGTTATTTTAATTTCTCCACATTAAAAGGCATTCTTGAACAAGTTTGCTTTATTTCTGTCTTGCCTTTGATATTAGAACCCTAAAACAATTAGGAGTGAAATTAGAAAATACAATCAGCATCTTTTTTTGGTTTAGGAAATTCCCGTCTGTTATCTAGACTGTCATAGTTGCACAGAACATGAACAGCCTATTAGCACCAGAATGCATTTCAGTTTACAAGTTCAAAGGCTCAACCAGAAACATTACTTTGAAAAAAGAGTTCCAGCAAACAAATGAACAAAAATGGAAGGAAAAGATCCAGATGGCTCTTGGGATATCTGCAATCCGAGCCATCCCAAAAGCTAGATTGGGATATCTGCAATCCAAGCCATCCCAAAAGCTAGGAATATAAAAAGTGGAAAGACACTGAAAAAAGAACTAATCCTGCTGTACTCCAGTTTTGAGTTCAAATTGAGAATATTTGCTGGAAGGACTACTTTCTTGATAATTTTTTCCCTAGCAAGTCAGCAATTAAAACACATGCTATTTAGTTAGACACTAAATTAAAATGCTATCTAGAAGTGGAACTACAAACATCTGGAAGATCTCTAGTTGCTTCCAGGCCGAAGAAATTAGATTCATAAGCCACAGCAGAAACATGAGAGGTTTGTATATGAATATTTGTGTGTGTGTGTGTGTGTGTGTGTGTGTGTGTGTGTGTGTGTGTATTACATGGAATACTTTTTTTTCCAGACAGGCTCATGTTTGAGTTTGGCATCTTAAAAGTATTACTGCTTAGTTCTATTCACATGATCACACTTCACAATTAAAAATAACTTCTGTTTCATGCTTGAAAAAGTTAAGGCGTCCTATTTCTTCAAGCATTTGATATAAAATCCCACCAACTTTACACAGACACACTCTGCAATTTCTACCTCAGCACTTACTCTTTTTTTCCTGGCTGCTCCACATGGTACATCTGTCTTGGACTCAAACCATTTCTCCACCTTACTATCTTTTCTTCGCTTCTCATTCTCCTACCCTTTCTCTCCTTCTCCTATTGCCTTCCTTACAATTTCTTACAATTCTTCAGGGCTCCAAACATCCCCAACTTGGTGCCATCCAGATGTGGTGAATGGCGTCTCCTACATAATTCCCATGCCAAAATGGTGAGGGCATTACATATATGTAGGGGATTGTTTGCCTCTTCCCCTTAATTTCCTTATCCCATCTCCATCACCATCACCATCTTCATCTCTTTCAAGGTTTTCTTCAACCTTTCCAGCTCTACCCCATAATTTTTTCCCCCTTCTCCTCTCTCTTTCTCACACTCCGCACGCCGTACTAAAATTCACCCGCGATTTGCCGAGTGTACAAAAACTTTAAATTCTAATCTTTAGACGTTACCTGTCCTGGAGGTAGTGGAGAGGAAACCACACAGATTGTCGCCTTTCTGAGTTTTCTTAAGTCTTTTTTTCCTCTCCCCACCGAAGAAAACTTGCCGGAGAGAAAACAGGAGTTTTGAAAACTCTCTTTTACCACCGCAGCCAGCGGAAGGGCTCTTAATGCCAGTGACGTTAAAAGTCCCTCAATCGTAGCCTCTGTTGTCCCCCCCCTCGTAGCCGTCCCTTCACCGTGGACATAAAGAAGCCGAGTCAAGCGACGGACACGGGAGAGGGATTTGGAAAGAGGGTGGGGTGGAGTTTCAGCTCTGATTGACCAATCCCGAGCCGACAGAGAATGAAGTTCGGTGAAGACGGAATGGCTTTCAAAAAGTCCAGCCGAGGGAAATTCAGAAACTCGTGATCTTTCATCTTTCCCCTTCCTCCACCCCTCTCTTTCCGAATGAGAGCGTCCTTCTTAAGAGGTTGAGGTTTGGAATATTTTCCTTCCATGAACAGGATTGAGGGATGGCATTTTCAGCTTTGGGCAGGTTCCCCCCCCCCCGTTTATCAAGGAAAAAAAAAAGTTGGTTTATTATAGATGTTGGTTGACAGCTTCCTTCCAAACCGTCTCTCTCCCCCACCCCCCAATACATCTGACACAGCGAGTAAGTGACTACATGATTTGAACCTATACGTTGCAGCTTCATCTCCTCTCTTCTTGCAGTGCCAAATGTGGATCAGGAAGGGTGGTCTTTGTTCCCCGCGTGCATTTTGTTTACCTGTCCTGAAGCAGTAGATTCCAGTTGCACTCAGTGCGATCCTATAGCAGATGCTCACAGCTGCTGCTGAACTGCAACTCCCAGTAGTCCCATCCAATATGGCCAAGGAGTAGGGAGCGTAGGTGTTGTAGTTTAGCAATATCTGTAGAGTTACAATGCTCCATCCTGATTTAAGGAGCTGTATTTAGCACAGCGCATAGGCAAGGTCTCTGGTCTGAGCAGGGGGTGGACTAGAAGACCTGCAAGGCCTCTTCTAACTGTGTTATTCTGTTTTTTTGCTGGGTGGTCTGTGTGTGCGCGCGCCCGCCTGTGTGCTCACACACACCTCTCTGGACCTACAGTTTCAGAACTGCCATTATTTAAATAGACAAATATAAGATTGATATTTCATACTGTCCGACTTCAGAGTTACCAGTTGGTGAGGATGTGATAGTTATTGCAGGAAGGTAAAATGGATAAATAAGAAACTTTGCTATCAACATGGCTAGGAATTTTTTATAATGATATACGATGACATTATATATACCAGAGGTGGTATTCAGCAGGTTCTGATCAGTTCTGGAGAACTGGTAGCGGAAATTTTGAGTAGTTTGGAGAACTGGCAAATACCACCTCTGACTGGAGATTTTACAGTATCCTTCCCTTGCCACGCCCACCAAGCCACGCCCACAGAACCGGTAGTAAAAAAGTTGAATCCCACCACTGAAATATACCACTGAAAGACAAAGATTTTTTTGTGTCAAACATGACTGCTAGTTATTACATGGCTGTACCAGTGTAGTTTTTGTGTGAACAGGATTGAAAAGTTAGCTATAAATTTCTTCCCAGATTATTTTTCAACTTCTTAGTATAGTTTATAGCCTTGCAGTTGTTTGATAATCTTTATGCAAACATTAACCTGATCCAACCTAACTTGTATTCCAAGATCAACTGAAGTTAGCACTGTGTTGCAATTGACATTTATTTATTTCTGCTTTTCTGGATACACTTGTTTCCAATATCACCCATATATAACATTTAAGTATTTCTTTAAAATATCTACAAACACACATTCTCTGTTCCATTGAGTTGCTGGAGAAGTCCACTTTTGGGGGGTTCTTTGATTTTTTCCATCCCTCCTGCCTTGAATCCTTAAGATAATTATGTTTAAAGAATAATATTTTCATGAGTTGTTCTGGTTGCACTCTTCCTTCCTTTATTACTCAACGTGTGGTTGATCAATTCAGATAAATGAGTTTGCAAATTAGCCAAACAGTAGTATTGGGGAAGGATGGTACATGCAGTATATTGCACAGTAAGACCAAGTTGAACCAAGTGATGACTGATTGAAAATGGAGCTATAATGAGTTGGGGACTCTGAAAATGTAGAACAGCATACACCCCCTGTGAGGGAATTTCCATTTATCCCTAAAGCAGCAACTTTACAGCCTGAACGTTATTGCTAAACAATCCACTATTGTCTTTGATTAAGAAAGGTTTTCTAAGCTTTGTATTTGTAGTCAGACTACATACTTAACCAAATCACTAGTTTTCATCTTGTATGTTGTACAAGACTAGCATATTTGGTTAGTTGATGGTTTGATGTACTGTATTGTGCAAGCTCAGAAAACATGTTAATTTGGTAACTGACTTCATGGGACATGAATGCTGTCTCTGTTTTGGCTGTGTCAATTTCTGGAGAAACTGGTCTGCCTAATCACTTCCAGGACAGATTAATGTCAAGTGTTCTAGAATGGCGGTGTCTTTAATGGTAGCTCCAAAACTGCCATTCAGAAGGCAGTTATCAGAGTTCTAGCTGGAGCCTGTGGGACAGATTTATGGTATATGTGATTCTAAACCATGCTTTCTTTCATTCTGATTTTATGAATCAGACACAATTGAGTAGTTAATGCAATCATATTGGCTAGATTCATACAACATGATGAGCCTAAACAAGCCATATGACCTAGAAAAACATAAGATATCTGGTAACATCTAGGTTTACATATGGTGAGATTTGTACATACATACATACACAACACATTATTGGTTTTCTGGGCGTTTAGCATATTATGTGAACCAGCCACTTAAATTATGATTAAACATACCATGGCTTAATAAGATAATATGAATTACCTTGCAGCTAACCCTTACAGGACATACTTGATTAATATGTTTTCAGGTTTCAGTAAAATTCTGTCACAAACCTCAGTTATCTTGTACATTTTTATCAAAACAGCGGATACTAATATATCACTGTGGTATGCGCATATTATTCACAGTGCCCAGGGCTGTGTTTCTCAACCTTGGCAGCATGTTAACTGGGCAATTCTGAGACTTGAAATCCACACATCTTAAAGTTGCCAAGGTTGAGAAACACTGGCCTAGGGCTTATGGAATGTTTGGAGTTAATTAATGTATTTCAAGGTTTCTTTTTAAAAAACAACAACCCTGAAAATATGACAGGGAAATCAAAATTCGTACACTGTCCAAGTTAAATATATTTAAGACATTACTATTACTTTATCCCATGTATATTTATGGCAATTTAATTTTGTGACATCATGCACTCCTCAACAAAATAACTTTCACCGAAACTCATTGAAAATATAAGTGCAGGAAATACTTTTATAATCCTAACATTTTGGATTATTACTGCAGTGAGAATTTATGAAGATTAATCTTCAAGGGTCTTAATGTGGTTCTGTATCACCAAACTCCCATACTTTGATCCATGAGATACAGTTTGTCCTAGTTTTCAGACTGAAGTTCTATAGTTCCTGATTGGATACTGGCAGTTCTTGCACAGTGGAAGAGTTTGCTGATCTTTTAAACCAGTGCAAACATATTTGAAAACTCCTGTTGAAGTTTTCATAAAACTGGAAGAAATACTCCAAGTTAAATACCTCCTATAACAATGGATTTTCCTCCTATAACAGTGAGGCTCAGTTAGGATGGCATTGGGGAAAATATAACCTTGCTCTTCAAATTAATGGTACTGCTGTGTGGTTGACACTCTATTCTACCAGAAGACTGGGAAGTACTGCTGTCACACCCTTTTCATCTGATAAGCTATAACAAGAAGTATTCTCTTCATAAAGGACGTTCTTTATTACCATTACAATGTATTTACACAGACTGCCATATAGTTTGATCTTCTCACTGTTGTAGTCAGAAAAGATGAAGAAGGGTGGGAAATAATATAAAAGGCTGCCCATAGTCTCTAGTGAAAAGTCTTAAGGAGTTTTGCCATAGCCTTTTCTGGAAAGTAACATAGAGCCTGTTTAAAAGGAAATACTGTAAGGAAGAAACACTTATAAACCCTGGGAATGAATGATATGATGATGATGATACCAAGGCTTCAGGCTTGAAAGACCTATATTTATGAAAATCTAAACTGCTGACAGTCAGGGTGGGGCACAGAATTACTATAAAGCACAAAACTTGTTCAACAGAGGAATTTATCTGCAGCATCAAAGCTCAGAATTCTGCAACAACAAAAAAAGGAAGCAAAAAAAAAACAACAAAAAAAAAAGCAAGCATCAGACCGGATTCCATTCTCCACTTTTATTTATTTATTTATTTATTTATTTATTTATTTATTTATTTATTTATTTATTT